ACTCTTTCAACTATAGTTTTCTTCGATGCTGTCTTTCTTCTCCTCTCCACTATCACTCTCCTTTTTTCTTTAACCATTCTTCTATCCTCTCTCTCTCTCTCTATCTATCTATCTACACACACACACACATATAATCACACACATATATCTATATAAACGCAGCTTCCCTTTCCACCTTGCGGATAGTCCGATGTTCCTGCAGATGTATCATGATTCTGTTGCAGGATTATGAATATTGCAATCTCATAAAAAAGGTAGAGAAAAAGGCAGTCAAACCAGCAATATTTTTCTCTGACGCTGAAATTTCAAGTCGTGCAGGAAAATACAGATTTACACTAGTTGGAAAGTTTCAATCAGGTCGCCCTAAGATGGAGATTATCAGGAAGGTTTTTGAAAATTTCAAACAAGTTGGGGCTTGACAGGTTGGCCTTTTCGACGGAATACATGCTATGATACAGCTAAACATAGAAAAATATTGCAAAAGGATTTTCTCAAAGAAATTTATCACAATCGAAAAAGTTTCAATCAGGTTGCCCTAAGATGGAGATTATCAAGAAGGTTTTTGAAAATTTCAAACAAGTTAGGGCTTGACAGGTGGGCCTTTTCGACGGAATACATGTTATGATACAGCTAAACATAGAAAAATATTACAAAAGGATTTTCTCAAAGAAATTTATCACAATCGAGGGCAATAATATGAAATTGCTCAAATGGATCCTAATTTTGATCACAGTCAAGAACTCCCAATTGCACCTATCTGGTTCTCATTACATGAACTCAAGCTTCAATTATTTGATCTACTTATCTTATATGCAATTGAGACTATCCTTGGAAAACCTTTGCAGGTAGACATATCTACAATTCCTTTCTCATGGCTCTATATTGCAAGAATTTTGATTGAAAGAGATATTACACTACCAGATGTAGAAGAAGTCTGGTTTGACTCTGCTCACAATGATTTTTGGCAAAAAACCATTATGAAACAAAGACCTTACTACTACAAACACTGCAAGATGTTTGAACACCCGCAAGAGAAATGTTTCAGATTGCACCCACAGTTGAGAACCAATAGTTAAAAACAGTTTGGCAAAAACCATTATGAAACAAAGACCTTACTACTGCAAACACTGCAAGATGTTTGAACACCCGCAAGATAAATGTTTCAAATTGCACCCACAGTTGAGAACCAATAGTTAAAAGCAGGATCATGCTGTTAATGCACCCACGTGATAGCCAACCTAAGGAGGGAATCACCACAAGACATGAGTTGGTGTCAGCCCCTGAGAACCCTTCTCCTGACCATATTATAAAGGATAATGTTCGGACCGAAAATCAGTATAACCCTGCAGCTCCTTCATGCTGTTAATGCACCCACGTGATAGCCAACCTAAGGAGGGAATCACCACAAGACATGAGTTGGTGTCAGCCCCAGCCCCTGAGAACCCTTCCCCTGACCATATTATAAAGGATAATGTTCGGACCGAAAATCAGTATAACCCTGCAGCTCCTTATCAGGAAACATTAGGTGCGGAGGTGACAATTCAAACTTCACATACACTGAAACCTATCGCTGTGGCAACGACTGCCTTTCCTTCTACTGCGGTTCTAATATCTAATCAGACCGACGATCACATAAGCCAGTCTTCAGATGAAGAATGACATACTTATATTTCTCGGTGGAAGAAGAAGACTGGGGGTACACTCCAACTTGAAAACTTAATGGACGATACTTTGGTTACTCCTGACAATGACACGACACTTCAAAATTTTATATCTAGCTCCGCTCCTAAAACTAGAGGAAGAGGCAGGACTAAACTGGCTCGTCCCTAGCTATTTACATTTTTTATTTTTTTTTTTTTGAGTCTATCTGTATCTTTTTGTTGGGGCATTACTGTACTTGGTATTGTATGGGTAGGATGTCGCTATTGGGTTCTCTCATACAACATTTATGTATCTTTTCTATTTCAATAAAATCAGCCTTTGGGCTTTTCATAATATATATATATATATCTAATCAAATATTGGTTGCCAAAGAAAACTGCGACGAAGGAGGCGAAGGAGCCTACTAAGGCAGCCAAATCTCCCAAGAAGGCGGCGGCTTAGGTTTTGGATAGGTGGCTTTGTACGTAATTTGAGTTCTGGTTCTGGTGTTGCTGGTTTGGGAAAGAATGTAGTTTGGTAATGCAATGGTTTTTAATTTGAAGAAAAATATCTATTTGTTTGAAAGTGTTGTGCTATTCTGCTCAAGCTGTGGCTTTTCCGCTATATATATATATATATATATATTAAAAAAAAGAAAAAAAACAGAGAGCAATACAAGAAAGTAAGAAAGGAGAAAAAGGTATTCAAGAATAGAAAGAGAGATTATAAAAAAAGAGATGAATAAAAGGAGAGAGAAGCATATTCTTTAATCCTCACAAACTTGTTGTCTCGGATCTTTTTCAATAAAATTGCCTCGCGAGCAAAGATAGAAATGTAGAAAAAAGGCCAGAAAAATTTAAGTATCGATTTATTTTATTCCAATAAGGCTGGATATCAATACAAAATTAGGACACCCACATTAGTCTAACGCAACAAGATAATTTTGTGTTTTGCGTAGAGGGTGATAAAATTTTGTGCATGTTTTTTTAAAATAATGGGTTTAATGACTCCCCTGTTCACAATTGCTTAGACATTGACTATACTTGTTTTTTAAAGCTTGATGGAAAGGCTAAATACTTATATAAATGGCCATTTTGCGGGGTAGATATTGGAATCTTATCAACATTTAGATTAAATGAACTTGAAAAAACCAAAACACATGTGACTTATGAACATAAAAGTTACTAAATTGAAAATGAAAGAATACTAAATTATAAAATAACAATGAAATGAATATTCAAACAAAACAAGGGTATTGAACATAAATGGACTTATAGGAAATTTGTAGAAAATTTAATAATTTGCTATAAACATAAAGATAACCCTCTTACTATTCAGGGCTCTCAAGGCCTCTGGACTAAATGAAAATTGAAATAGTAAAATGAGCTAAGGGAGTACCTTTCTTATAAGATGAAAAATGATTCCTGTGAAGTCAACCTCACTAAATTGCATTCATATGTGGATAAAAATTATGACATTATTGTAAATAGATTAAAAATTTGAAGCCGAATCTGCATAACGTATACACACGTGGATAGAAAAGGACTTTATTGAACTCAAAATAAAATTGTATGTATCCAATTGTAAAACATTCGTGCATACAATAAAAATCCATAATAGAATCCTATTAATTTTAAAGTCATGCACGGAACATCAGACAGCTCTTCAACTCAAACATGATGTGTTAAAAACATTTAAGTATATTAATGTGAAACACCAATGGAGGGGGCAAAACACTAACATTGGGGTCCGATCTAAGAAGAAAGCTAACCAATGGTCTATTATAAATAGCAATTTGAAGATGCACCCATGAAGATATTTAATTGAGATTTATTCGTATTTTATGTGCTTTATGATTTTCTATAAGCATTATATATTTTAAATTATTATATAGTCATGTTCCATGTTCAGAATATTACTTGCTCTTCTACTATCTTTGAAGTCTCAAAAATATCCCTTTTTAGCTTTTAAACCATTGTTTTATGTGCTATGGCTTATATGATCAACTCCATTCATATATTTATTTCATTTAAATTATCATGGTTGGTGGATCCTTGACCTGCATAACTTTTC